ATATATATATATATATATATATATTAAAAAAAAATTAATTTCTTTCTTAGTGACTCCATCTTGATCATCTTGGTAAATTACACATAAAACCACTGAGTGTGATTCTGAAAAGTAGATGAAGTGCTTTTCCAGCCTTCTTAACATGCTCCTGGACCCCGTGGATACTGTGCTCCGGCCGAACATGCCTGACCGCTTCATTCATCGTCCTCAGAACGCCGAAGGGTTTTGAACCTTTTCCTGATACTTTATGATGCTTTTCACGTGTTACTTGGGAACAAATCAACTCCAAAGTGCGTAATACGTCTCACTAGATTTATCATAGAAAATGTCATTGTCAGTTGACTAACGATGTTCGGGGAAAAAAGGTCTTCTTTTGACCCTCCAGCAAAAGGGAACTTTCATCAAGTCAATTCAACAAAATAAGCCTCGCTCACAGGGAAAGGTTTTTGTTTTGTGTTCATATGCAAGGGAGAGTTCGTTGGTCCTTTCTCCTCAGCTTGTTTTCATTCATTGTTTCCGTCTTGCATCCGTTATGACCTGAAATGCATCAGCAGCTTTGAATGAAAAACCCAAAGGTTATTTTTGTTTAATTTTTTTCTGTTCAATCAACCAAACATCCACAAAAATTGCAAATGTTGTTACAAAATGCAAAAAACAATTGTGCCTTCTCAGCCACACTCTTTATCCAACTAAAGTGTGCATATTATTTACAGCAGTGTAATATCTCATTTTCTAGTTATTCATGCACGTGGTTCACATGGTGTTGTGTTACTTGTATTTGACTGTTGTACACATTGACTTTCACCAGCCACATTATTGTGCAACTTTAGTTCCAAACTGCGTGTTAGTAATTCTTAAAGGTCATCTTTTTCTATTATTCAGTATTCTGTTATTTGCTGGTGAAATCCTTTTTCTTTCTAGAAATGATCATCTCAATAGCCTTAATTAGACTGCACCAACATAGCAGTCAGGTTTGAACAGGTCGTTTGTTGTGATTTTATCTAAAAACTAAACGCCTTCCTTGCACAGCTTTGTCACTTCTGCTTTCTGCCGACTGAAATGACTTGAAAACAGTTTTGCTCAAGTGACCTTTTTTCTTATGAACTTGCAGACGTACAGTCACAGCTCATATGACGAGCCAGCCCGTGTCCTTTTTAGCAACCCTGCTTTTTCAGCTTCCTCTTTTTAGAATTTGGTTGCGGTCAAAGAGCATAGTACCTAATCTATTCTATTTCAGTGTTTTATTACATGCAAGTATCGGGTACAGGTTTCAGAATGCCGTTCAGTTGCATCCATGCTGTGGCTCATTTCATTTTACCAGCTGACATGAGACATGTCGGCTAATGAAAGGGGCCTCATGTACTCGCATATCTTTGTCTTTTGCAAAGCAGTTCATTTGTGGGGAATGTGCATTTTTTTCATACATCGACTGAGCGATTTGTCAGTGTACTTTCTTGTAGGATTGCCATTTGTGTGAAGTCTGTCTTTATAAATGTATTCTTCCTGTGATTTCAATCCTTTGGCCAGTGTTTCTTCAAGATGACTGTAGTTGGAGTGTTTTTATTTGCGTGTGGATTATAGCCATTTGTTTTCTATACGACCAAAATACCAGCAGAGATTTATTCTTGTTCCATCTGTTTCTCATAGAAGAATAATTGGCATTGATGCTACTTTGAAAAATATATGTACATTAATTTTATTTTGTTCAAAACCCACCACTTCTTCTGCACAGTTAAATAAAATGTGTTTTGGTTTCCCCAACTTATGAATTTTCAGTATAGAAGATGAACTCAAAGTGCACTTTTTTTCTGTGCTGGTGGCTGTACAATATATTACATTGCATTTTATTTGTAACGCACTTTTCATTCAAAAAATCTCAGAGTGCCACAGAGCCAGTACATAGTAAAAGTAAACTATAATAAAATAACTAAACATAAGCATAGTAAAACAGTGAATGAACAGAAACACAAAATAAATAACTGACAGTGATTTAGCACAAGGTCAGAAAGTCCTTCCTGAATAAAAAGGTTTTTAGGCCAGTCTTAAAAGACACCAGTGTCTGTGTTGCCTTTAGGTGGTCAGGGAGACTGTTCCAAAGGCCCGGTCGCCCATGGTGTGGAGCTTGGTGTTGGGGACCCGGAAGAGCGAGCTGTTTGAAGATCTGAGGGTGCGGGTGGAGATTTGGGGAGTAATGAGTTCTTGTAGGTAGGGAGGTGCGTGTCCATTTATGTGTGAGTAGTAGGACTTTGTAGTCAATCCGGAATGAGACAGGGAGCCAGTGTAGTGGGTGTAGAGTGGGTGTTATGTGCTCATACTTCTGGACTCTCATCAGGATCCTGGCAGCGCTGTTTTGGGTTGTATTGCAGCTTCTGGATGTTCTTGCCAGTGATCCCAGTGAAGAGTGAGTCACAGTAGTCCAGTCTTGAGGAGATAAAGGTGTGGACGAGCTTCTCTGCATCCGACAGGGTTAAAGTGGGGCGGAGTTTGGAGATGTTTTTGAGATGATAAAACGAGGTTTTGCACAGGTGTTTTATATGGTCATTAAAGGTCAGGTGTGGGTCAAACCTAACTCCCAGATAAGTGACTGGAGGAGAGGGGGATGACCTGACCGTCGAAGGTGAGATGAGTTATTGAGGATGACTGAACCTGGTGTGGAGTGCCAGCTTCGTTTTTGCTACTGTTTAACTGGAGAAAGTTGTTGCTCATCCACGCCTTTATCTCCCCAAGACAGGCGGTGAGACATGACATGGCTGCAGAGGGGCTTGGGGCAGCTTTGATGTAGAGCTGTGTATTGTCGGCATAACAGTGGAAAGACATCCTATCCTAACTGAGGCTGAAACCAAGTCATAAACCAAAGTATTGGACAAATTCAAATGTGGACCTGATAAAAATAAATAAAAATTTAGAGGATCACGAGAGTTATTACAATTCATCCTGAGGGGGACATGAATGTCTTTGTCCAATAGCCTTCGATACTTCAGTCTGAGATACTTCAGTCTGGACTAGCATGGCTAAAAAGAAGTTAGTGAAGAGGGTGAATTTAATCTAGCCATGCAGTATCAGACAAAACCCCTGAGAATTGACTCATCTATAATAAGAAAATAATACCCAAATATCATTTTAGTTTTTTACAAATATTGCTGAGCTAATCTCAATAACAGCTAAATGTGTAGGTGTCTTTTTTTGCCTGCTAGTCCATGTTGAGGTAACCACAAAAACAAATGTTTTGCGTTAAGTAAAAAATATATTTAGATGTACATTCATTGAGGGTGTGGAGGGGGACGTTGGGTAATATGGAAAGTTCAAGGGAGGCAGATAATACTAGTTATACTTTATTGCATCTATCAGTTGCTTAACTGCACAGAAAAGGAGACTGAAATGTAGTTATGCTGTACTTATACTTGTGGCCTCAAAGGGTTTCCTTTTTTTAACATACAGGGGATTTAATGTAAAAACTAATTATATTGTCTAATTCACTTATGCAGCTAAAGGGAGGTGAAGTATAGCCAGTGTGCAAAAACAGAATCAAAAAAGTTTTCTTGGCTTATTTGTCTTTATACTGCCGTCTTGGCCATCTCGCATAACAAACAAATGTAGCACTAAGACTCGCAACAAAACAACTTGTCGAAAAATGAATGAGAGTTAAACCCAGTGGCAACTCTCTCTCGTGATGTGAGGAATGCTGTCCGGCTACTTGCTACTGGGTGGGACAGACAGACAGACAGGTTGAAACAGTCCACTGGAGAGTCAGAGTCATTTCCTTATTTTACTAAATCAATGCAGTTATGGCTCCAGGTGTCTTGTCCACTCTTGTGTGTGTTCTGTGTTTGATCCTGTTCCCAGCTGTATGGGGTAAGTTTTACTTTGGTGTTTTTTCCCCACAAGTACAGTGGGTACGGAAAGTATTCAGACCCCTTTAAATTTTTAACTCTTTGTTTCATTGCAGCCATTTGCTAAAATCAAAAAAGTTCATTTTATTTCTCATTAATGTACACTCGGCCCCGACTGGTGGAGGGCTGCAGTGATAGTTGACTTTGTGGAACTTTCTCCCATCTCCCTACTGCATCTCTGGAGCTCAGCCACAGTGATCTTTGGGTTCTTCTTTACCTCTCTCACCAAGGCTCTTCTTCCACGATTGCTCAGTTTGGCTGGACGGCCAGGTCTAGGAAGAGTTCTGGTCGTCCCAAACTTCTTCCATTTAAGGATTATGGAGGCCACTGTGCTCTTAGGAACCTTGAGTGTTGCAGAAATTCTTTTGTAACCTTGGCCAGATCTGTGCCTTGCCACAATTCTGTCTCTGAGCTCCTTGGGCAGTTCCTTCGACCTTATGATTCTCATTTGCTCTGACATGCAGTGTGAGCTGTAAGGTCTTATATAGACAGGTGTGTGCCTTTCCTAATCAAGTCCAATCAGTTTAATTAAACACAGCTGGACTCCAATGAAGGAGTAGAACCATCTCAAGGAGGATCAGAAGAAATGGACAGCATGTGAGTTAAATATGAGTGTCACAGCAAAGGGTCTGAATACTTATGACCATGTGATATTTCAGTTTCTCTTTTTTAATAAATTTGCAAAAATTTCTACATTTCTGTTTTTTTCTGTCAAGATGGGGTGCCGAGTGTACATTGATGAGAAATAAAATTAACTTTTTTGATTTTAGCAAATGGCTGCAATGAAGCAAAGAGTTAAAAATTTAAAGGGGTCTGAATACTTTCCGTACCCACTGTATATAGGATATCTCAGTCATATGCAGACATTCACAAAATGAAAATCACAGTGATCTTTGGGTTCTTCTTTACCTCTCTTTGGTTGATTGATTGACTTGAGTCAATCAAGTCAAATCAGATAGAAACCAGTTTCATTACTACAACTTTGATTTGACCTCTTAGTGGCAGTGACTTGTGTTTCGAGCTTGTATGTACGTGTCTGTTTAAATAGTTTAGCTGTTAATCTCTCGCACTCACTGCTCTTCACCATGACTCCGTGTTTTATATGTTACAGCTGATTACTGTCGCAGCTACGTGGACACAGATGGTTACCAACACCAGGCTCAGCAATGTGGCTCTCAGTACTGCTGTGGAAACTGCGAGAGAAAATATTGCTGCAGTAACAAAATATACCGAGAAAAACAAAAAAACTGTCATAGAAGGTGTGCTCCTGATTTAAACCGGTGTTTAAAAAAGAAAAGAAAAGCATAAGAAACAATATCAGCATTTTAAGAAATCAAAATATCTCTTCTCTGTCTCTTCCCCAGTTCTTCTGACCATGGGGGAAAAAGCCGCATTGCTATGCTTGTGGGAAGCATTTTAGGGACTATTATTCCAGTTATGTTCTGTGTGTGTCTCATCATCTGCTGTGTGGCTCCGTGCTGTTTGTGCTACAAGACGTGTCGAAAAGGACGCAATCGAAATCCTCAAAGTACGAAACATTTTTAGTTTCAGCTCAGTTTTTGCAGGCAACCAAGTATAAAACTTTGTAATGTATTGTATGTATAAGCAATTACAGAAAAGTTTGACATTTTGTACTGTTAGAAGTTGCAGCATCATTATTTCTTGGAGATTTTGATGTTAGGATCTCCTTTAATTCTAAGTTAGCCAGCAGCCGGCTAACTTAGCTTAGCACAAAGACTGGATACAGGTGGAAACAGCTCGTCTGGCTAAACCGCGAACCAGATCTTCTAAAGCTCACTAATTAACATGTTGTATCTTGTTTGTTTAATCTGTACACCGTCAAATCACTGTTTTATTGTCAGTTATGTGCCAGATATTTGCTGGTCTGCACCAGTTTGCCAGGCAGCTAGGGGGAGCAGTAACTTCCTACTACAATCGCCGCTGGTTGCCTGGCAAATGGTCCAAGAAATATCTGGCACACAACCACCAATAAAACGGTGATTTGTTGTTTCTACGGATTAAAAACAAACAAATGCAATGTGTTTAATAAGTGAGCCTTAGAGGAGCCAACCAACTCTCAGTAAGAAAGCGAATAGAGAATTTCCCATTGTCTAACCTTTCCTTCTATCAAAAACCTGATCTTGTTTCACAATAGTGTCACAATTTCTTTAGGTCACAGTATTGGTGTGTCCGACCTTATTTTCAAACCAAACTCAGTCTATGACTTTTCCTCTAGTTGGGACAAACACCGCTGTCGTAGTCAACTTGCCCCAGCAGCCCCTCTCTCCCCCCGCCGGATATCAGCCAACCTACCCCGGCTACCAGCCCGTACCTGCCCTGCCTGAATATGGAAGCCTGCCCATCCCTACAGCACCACCACCATACATGGAAACTAGTGAGTTATTTCATGACATTTATAAACTACACAGTAGCGGGTTGGTTGATGTCACCCGTTGACCAAACTAATCCACCTGGATTTATGTATCAGATTGTTCTGTGATTTACTACCTAAAGGGCTATCATCTGATTCTTATTAACAAATCAGTGTTGCTTCTTAGTTTTACTGACAACAATAAGATGTTTTAAACAATTAGCCTATTGATATTCTTTATTATTCTTTTATTGTCAACAAGTCAGATGAAAACCCAAACCAACAAGTATTATGTAAAGCCCTATATGTGTTATTCCTCTGTGCTATGGAGCTCCAATGTTGTCCAAAACCAGCAGAGTTGCAAAGCAGGAGTTATTTCAGGCGCCCGTTGTCATTTTACCCATAGAAAATGTTACATGACTCACAGTTTGAGCACTTACGTATACAGCTTGGCTCGGCATTAAATTCAAATTAAAGGAACAGTTCACCCCAAAATCAAAAATACATGTTTTTCCACTTACCTGTGGTATTTATATAAAAAACACTTTTGGAACTATCAGTCCGTCCCACTTAAAAAGAATCAAGGAGCAACATATTGGTGACATGTTCCTCCTATACCATAAACATTTGAGTCAATCCCACATATACAGTTCTGCTGCTGTAAAAACTCTTAAAAAAGCTTCAAATGTGTATTAATCCGCATCTAAAAACAGCTGCCAACGCAGTCCTTTTAAGTCCTGATGGAGTAATGGTTACTAAAAGTACAGTGCCGAGGTATTTTAAGAAATTATTTTGAGTTGGAAAAAAGAGAGATATTATATATCTTTGATGTGTTTATGAATCACTACTCTAGTGGGAAGATAAGCTGAGAGCAACAGACATGATAGAGAAGTGTTGTCATTGGATATGTTGACAATAAAATAAAAATAAAGAACAACTCCAGCATTATCCTTTCATGATTGTCACATAGGATAACATCGTATTTAAATAAAGAATCATTTGGAAAACAACACCCTTTTTAGAAGCAAGAAACCAAATATGTGTTTTTTTGTCTTTTTAGACGATCCAGCTCACTTTCCAGGTGCATTCCCTGCCGGGCTGCCGATGGTGCCCTTCCCCGGCCAGCCTTATGCACCGCCACCACATTCAGGTGCACCGATGGCCTACAACCCCGCTTATGTGCCAAAACTTTAAACCAGAACTAGACCACCATTCTCACCATTCCCACTAGACACCATTCTCATGGGAGTAAGAAATGTGTGGATACCATTGTGTTATTACAATGGAATACATACTTTGCAGGATGTCAAATTCAAATGTATCTTGGGAAAACTACAATTTTCTACGAAATCACATTGCTATATCTTGCTGTTGCTTTCTATGGGCAAACCTTTATGAATAAAAGCTTCAGTAATGGACGTTTGTTTAGCAATATTACATTTTAAAATATGGCCTCTTTTAAATGGAAGAGTTGAATGTTGAATAATGATGCATTTCAGAAGGGAAATGCAAGTACCAAAACACACATTTCAAGTCATGAGAGAAAAAAAGAAATAAAAACAATTATATGACAAAAAATCTGTCTTTGTTTATTGGGATTTTCTTATGTAAGAGGCACTTTAAACTGTGGTGCCATTAGAACAGTCTTCTTTTTTTAAAATAAACTTCAACTGCCTCTAGGGGTCGCTACTGCCTCGCTTTTAATTTGTATAGAAAAGGGGAAACAGAGGGATACTTCACGCTGCATGGTCTTGTTGTCAAACATATAGTTTTAAATACACAACAATAAACCCATGAATCTCTTTTGTCCCATTATGATCAAGCATACTACTTTCAGAGATGAAGATTTAAAATCACAGGTGCTGTATTTCAACCACTTGTCCTTTTTCATTTTTAGGGATAATTGAGGACTGTTAGTCTGATGGGTGCAATAGAGAAACACTGGGCCATCCTCTGTTGCCTTCAATTACTGTAATATTACTAGTATATTACTATTTTTTGTATCCTTACTTGCACTAAGTGTGTCTATAGTACCACAGCAATTTCATTATTTATTTTATTTATCTAAACTTAATTTAACCAGGATAATATTCCCATTTAGATTTGGAATCTCTCTTACAACGGGGTCCTGGCCATAAATGAAGTAAGCCTCTTGTTGGCTCATCCTCTTGGTGAGAATATACAGAGGTACAGAGTTTATAACCAGTTTGAAGCTTGTTTTGTTACAAATTAAACATTATATACAAGTACAGCTGAAACGATTATTGCAGCAATCAATTAACCAATTGTCAGAAAATGATCTTGAATCGTTTAAGTCATATTTCATGCAAATATTTTAGTAGATCTAGCTTCCCAAATGTGAGGGTTTCATGTTAATAAATTTAATAGTTTTAGTTTGTAATCAATCATTTTGTGAAGTCCCCACTTTGGGCTCTGACAACTTGTGATTGGTCATTTATTCATTTTTACAAACCGAATGATCAATCTATTATAAGTAAGAAAGCATCCAAAAACTGTTGTAATAATGTATTACAAATATAGTCTAACAGTCACGGGGGGCATTTTCCTGCATGGATTACTTAAGTACATTCTCCTGGTTATTCTTACATACTTTTACTTAAGTTGCATTTAGCAGTATTCCAACACAGTAACTGCTACTGAAGTAAAAGATCTGAATACTTCCTCCACCACTGGCACGTTAGAACTGATGGTTTGATGCACTGCGTTGAAAAGAGTGAGGAGGTGTCTGTTGCAGTCGTGTGTGCGTGTGTGATGATGACGGTTGTAAGAGGAGTTTTCAGAACACAACATCTTTTGGAGCTTTGCAGTAATGCATCAAAGCAATGGAGAGATGTACTGCTGCAGCTTGCTACTTAAACCCTCTTACAATGAAATCAGAGTTTATTGGAAAAATCCATAATGTTGTAGCTTATGTTATTCCCTTCAGTCCGACAAAACCACTGGGTTCAGTTTAGCCTCTTCCGTTGGGATCATGTGCCGTTAAATAACCAGAGTGGGCGTGCTTGCATTTAATCCCATAATAAACAGCACCACTCCCTCTTATCGTTTCCCACACCATCCATTAATCAATACAGTAATAGTGCTGACTGTCTCAGTGACGAGGGCTATAACAGGAAAAATGACCCTCCCTATATGTGCTGCTCCCTTCTTGCTGTCTAAAATAAGATCTCTCCTTGAAGTGTGGCTCAGACTGCTAATGAGCACTGGATGCCAGTGTCATGGACGATGTGGCAGATAATCTTTAGAGCCAGCACTAATGTTCTCCTTCTCCTCTTCATCCATTTATTCTTCTTCTTCTTCTTCTTCTCCTCTCTTTCCCTTTCTTCTGTCCTTTGTTCTGTCTGAAGGCATTCTTGTCTGGCCTCCTGCCCGAGCTGCTATTAAGATGTTTTCAGCATTTTCTCGACATCCCACACCATTCCTTTCTTTTGTCTCCTCTTCTTCTGCTCTGCAGAATCCCTCTGGTATTTATATCTCGAGTCGAAGCTGCCCCGGCACATGGAGAGCAGACAGGGGAACACACTATGTTATTGGATATCAGAAATCAACCTGCTGATCAGGTTTTAGATATTTATTCAGGAAACTGAATTAGTGAACTGTGTGGGAGCAATTACTGACAAACTCCCCATTGCGTGCTCGCTCAGGCCAAGATGCTCCAAAGAGATACAGGCATGAACTTTCCCACATGCTTGGAAACACAAACAGACTTGACAGCATTATGTTCAAATTATCTATTTTTACTCACGTCCCATTACCACTTATTATAAGTGATAACAAGTTTCCAACATCATTTATATTTTGACATTTTTCCATCTTTTCCATCACTACAGATAAGTGTTAACAGATCCCCTGTCTTGTCATTTAACACCACCAAGAAGTCAAACTTCAAATGTTTCCAAAACTTTAAGACCAATTATATATTCCCATCAGTCTTAGATGTGCTTTGTGTTTAGTGCTAATTAGCAAATATAAGATGCTAACACGCAAAACTAGGATGGTAAACCTGATACCAGCTAAATTCAAGCATTGTCATTGTGTGCATGTTAGCATGCAGACATTAGCTCGAAGTACAGGCTCTCTGACTTGCTAGCATAGCTGTAGACACTATAGTCTTGTTATCAGAATATATCCTGTGTTATTAGAAGCTAAGTACACAGGAGATTGGAGCCAACAAATAGGTAGCGTATAATAAAAAGTGCATTAGCTGCAGTCAAATACAACTGTCCTGCACTGTGGATGGAGATTGTGGTGCTGTTGAACTGTATTTCACTGTGCAGAGAGATGTTCCTGTGATTCAGCCTGTTCTCATTGATGTAAATAGGATGAACAAAATATTAAAACACAGAAAAACACAATACAATTCAGCAGCACAAACTACAGCCTCCAAAATAACCAAAGAGGTGAACCACTTACTGCAGGACTGTTGCATTTGACTGCATTCGTTTTACCTTGGTGTACCTAAGAGGTAGCAGTGTGTAGTGAAAGCTCATCAGCTCTTTTTTCCCCCAATACCACATAGGGGCAGCAGGAGGCAGAGAGTGTTTGACACCAGTAGCTGGTTCATGCTGCCAAACGGATCACATGAGAGGAACTCAACCTCTTCCTTCCAGTAACCTGGTGTGTTGTTGACATTGATGGTAGTGCCCTGAGACACTAATCTTGGTCAGTATTAATCCTCCTCAATGTGCAAGTTTTGTTAAGAAGCTTTGCTGCCTCTTTGTCAACGCTCACAGCTAATTTCTCAGCTGAATCTTCAGGCAGTAAAACCACACCAACCAAGTCCATCACATGTTTTAGTCACTGGAGGCTCTGCAAGAAAACAAAACATTTAGAATTGAGAATACTTTAATAACAACAATAATTACAATAACACGGCAGGGATGTTGGACTGCATTAGATTGTACAAGTGTACCTAATGAAGTGGCCACTGAGTTGATGTTACACAGTCGAAAAGCTCCACTTGATAAACTAGGAAAAAAGTAAAAGTGCATTTACACGTGCTCCTGTAATCAATATACATTCTTTGCGTCCACACTTTGATATTCCGATATCACCTGCTATAAGTCAGATTGGTGGGATGAGTTAAAAAAATAAATATAAAACTTAAAATGTTTAACATTTGATTGGAAATATCAATACCTTTAAAACCTCACTGGCTGAATTCCATTTTAAGTCACATCCCTCTTAAAAAATGCTGTCTATCCCAAAATCACGTCACCCCATCCTAACTGGGAAGGTGGCGCAAAGTATCTCATTTTCTCACGTCATTGGAGTGTGTGTGAGGTTTATTGTGTGGGACAGTTGAGGTGACACACTGACAGCTGCCCACTGGTTGACTTGAGACAAACAGCAATCAGCTGGTTTAATCAGCAGCTGTGGGTAAGAGGACATGACTGAAGTAGGCTGGCCTTATGTTGTGTGTTTGAGCTACTTGTATGGAAAGTCATTGGAGGTTAAAACACTTATAATTCATATCAGTGAATGAATAAAATCACACAACATGCTTTGTTGGAGTCCTGCAACTTTCCTGATTATGTCTCATTGCTCTGTCACAGCACCACTCTCCCTTTTCCAGAGGAGCTAAAGGTCTGCAATAAAGTTTCGTGGGTCACTGTGCACATTTCGGGCCCCTTTTCTCCCCCATTGATTGCAGATTGAGTCAGACGCCAGGGCTTTCAAGCTCAGAGTAAAAAAAAATGGAAGATTTTGGCTTGGCTTTTAACTTTCAAGACTGTACCTCAAGTTTTCCCCTTTTTATGCTCCTCAGATCTACAAGCACCTGCAGCAACGAGGGACCACAGAAAGAGACACCTTGGACCGTGTGAACTTGAACTGATAAACCAGGCTGCTGTCTTTTCACTCTCTCTCTCTCTCTCTCTCTCTCTCTCTCTCTCTCTCTCTCTCTC